GCTTGTAGCTCTTCTCACTTCCGCCTGCTGCTGCTCACAATGCTAACACCTCTTGCTTCAGGTTTTAATGATGGCGACCTTCTACTTCCCCAAACCAGTTTCCTATTTTACTGCGCCTTGCAGGGTAACAAAACACTTTCAAATCTCGGCACTTGAGATAACAAGGCTTGTTAGTTCTTCAGATCTCTTGGGCCTCGCTGGGTTGTGGGTCTTTGGTTTGGCCCAGTGTTCTGCATTCAGCTGTCTCAGATTTGGAGGCAGCTGTGGGGTTTCCGGGCCTCTCTTATCGCGTGGTCTCTCAGGACGCTAGCGGCAGCTTTCTTCGTGCAGCTGAATTTTAAGAGAGTCAGAGTAGAAATGGCAAGATCCCTTAGGGCTCGAGGTCTGGAACTTCCCTGGTGACACGCTCCACTGCCCACAGTGAGTCACAAGGTCAACCAAGGTTGAGCAGCAGCTGAGAAACAGCCCTGCCTCACAAGGCGGGAGAGCATCAAACCCACCTTGTAAGGGAGCCCGGAGGAGGTCGACAGAGAACCTTATGTAATGACCTTTTGATAAACGGAATGATCACCCAGGTAGAGGTGCCAGAAAGACACTTGGTTAGGACGGAGAGTGAGTCCCGTTTCTGTATCGGGACCCTGAAGGCAGGATGGCACTGCAGACTGCTACCCTCCGGCCACTCAGCTGGAAGAAGCTGGCGAGCTGGCGAAGGTGCAAACCCACTTAGCACATGGATTCTTCCAGTCCTTTCTGCCTGCTTCCCACCTCCACAAACACTCAACCTAGCACTGGACAGGACGCTCTACCACTGCCGCGTCTGCCACCTAACGGAAGGGACTCTGGGAGGAAAGGACTTTTGAGACTGTTTAACCGTGTGTACTGGTGTCTCTGTGCATGTGTGTGCACGTGTGTGCAGGTGCCGATGGAGGCTGGAAGAGACTGTCAGATCCCGGAGCTGTAGTTCTAGGCGGTTGTGAGCTGCCTGGATGTGGGTACTGGGAACCGAACTCAGGACCTCTGCAAAAGTAGCATGTATGTGCTCTTCACGGAGCCCTGTCTCCAGCACTCAGGGGAGGGGCTGTTTGTTCTCCTAGTTTTCGTATCTTGCAGAATGAAAAGCAAGAATGAGATTAAGTATAGGGATTCTGAAAAAAGCGATTTTTGAGTTCTTACGAACCAGCAGGGAGGGTGGGAACCGAGGAGGAGGGACCAGGAGTTACCAGGTCATGCTGCTGCCCTGCTGAGTCACTCTCCTTCAGAAAGCTGCCATTGTGTCTGAAGCTGCACCACCTTCCGTGCTGATAGGCTAGGGGAAGCTGGGAAGCTATAATTCTCCCGTCCAGGTATGGCTTGAATGTGCCATCCTCCTGCCTCAGCCTTCTAACGCATCACCATGCCTGGCTAGGGATCTAAATTCTCCCACTGCTCCCCAACCTAACGCTCTTCTCACACTGGTTAACTTGCCGAGACCCCATTTTGAACCGGGTCCTACTGATTTTTGCATTCTCCTCATCCTTGCTCCAACCAGAGGGTCATGGTGGGGCTGGGCTGCGGCGCGTGCCCAACTCTCGGACTCCATCCCTCACTTCCCAAGCGGAACTGGAGGGTCTCAGCTGTGCTAAGTTGGGTGTTTGTTAGATCGCGATAGACTGGTAATTAGTGCGGGGAGTGAATCTGGGTCAGAGGCAACCAGTTGGAGTGATGGTCTCCTGGGGCGCGAATAAAGGTGGGAAAGAACAAACACAGCCCTGGGTTGTTGTTGTTTTTTTTTTTTTTTTTTTTGTATGGGTGGGGTGAACCAGGGACAGGGGACAGTGGGACTTGTGGTATAGGCAGAGAGACACAGGGTCACGTGCAGAAAAGCGCTCAAATTCTCTCTCTCTCTCTCTCTCTCTCTCTCTCTCTCTCTCTCTCTCTCTCTCTCTGTATGTGATCGCTTGCTCCCGCTTTTACTCGGGTTTCCTTCCAACCTCTCCATATATGGTGTGGCTCTAGAGCAGGCTGGGGATTGGCTGTTGTTGTTGGGAGTCTGGGAGGTGGGAGAAAAGCAGAAAAAGAAACCCAGCGTGGGGAGGGAGGAGAGAGCATGGTACCAGGCTTCAAGGGTTGCAGAAGGACTGCTTGCCTCGGAGGTTGAGATGGATTCTTTGGGATGTGTTTCTAGGGAGAAGGGGGCACAGTTACTGTTGGCAGAGCACTTGGGGGCACTGGCCGGGGAAGGGGACAAGGCTTGGCCCTAGGTTCAGAGCTCTAGGCTTAGGAGTGGTTTGTGAGGGCTGGAGTGGGGCGGTGGGGGTTGAGAAACCTGGGCTCCGCTCCACCCCTTTCTTTTCACCCCAGACAACTTACAGCTCTGCTGTGGAAATCATATGCAAATGAACTCATTAGCTTTCCAGACCAACCCCAGACATCCTTCCTAATGGTGGAAGCCATAGACTGTACCTTTACCAGCCCTCTCTCTCCAACCCTCCTGAAAAACTCCTTGAGAGAAACAGGAAAAGCTGAGGGGAATATCACTGAAGTATGACGTAAACATCTGGTTCTCCAATTTACCTGTCTACTCATCGCCCTGGTTCACCTCTGTGTCCTGGATTCCCCCTCTCCCCATCCCAGGCCTCCCAGAGGAGTTTCCCTCTCCAGTTCACTTGGGTAAGAAGACAGAGATAGGCTGTTGGGAAGGGGCTGAATATAAACATCCTGGAGATGTCTGTCAGCAGCTTCGCGGGAGAAGGCGACCTATGCAACCAGAGCGCCTCTTCCCTTCTCCACACGTGGGGACTGGAGGAAGGAAGAGAGATAATGCAGGAAGACGGGGTGGAGGGGGCCCGGAGGGAGGTTAGGATGCATCCTGACATGGTGACTAGGTTCAAAACATTTCCACATGAGCAGAGCGCTTGCTGGCAGCCGCCCACAAGCGTAGAATTTAGGTTGCTTCTCTAGTGTGAAACATGGCTTTGTGTTAAGCTCTGGAACGGCTGCGGACAGGAATCGCACCCTTCCCTCTGTACAGCTGTCTTCAGCACAGAGCCGAGGCACCTCGCAGGCCCTCCTCCGAAGGGAGGGGTGGGCGTGGCCTGCGGCCCATGGAGGGCTGTGAAGTAGAGTGGCCCTGATTGGCTCCGCGTCCTTTGCCTCACTCAAGCTGCGCTCTGGCCACCTGAATTTGCCGCTCACTCCTCACTGAGCCAAACTAGTACAGCAGCCTCGGAAGCCACGGTGGGACAAGCAGAGGCCACTGGCTGTTCTTTCCCACTCAACACTCAGCCGTCTGCAGAGGAAACAGACACTCATCAGGCCTGCTTTGCCCAGGGCCGATTAACCAGAAGTCAGAACTTGAATCCAGACCCCTGTGGTTTCATTTTAGCACTGTAGAGCCTGGATGCTGGAACACTTGCTGGGGAGCTGCTGACTTTGGGGTGTGTGTGTGTGTGTGTGTGTGTGTTTTCCTCCCCTGGGTACCACAGATTGGCATGTTGGGACACACATGTCATTCTTGTTTTGTCTTTGTCTTCATTAGGTGGGGGCGGCAAGAAAGAGAAAGAGAAAGTGAAAAGATGGGAAGGCACAAAGCGTGTGATTTTAACCCAACTTTCAGGATCTGTGGCAATGGGTGGGCTGAAGACCTGGGCTAGAGTTGTGGGAAGGGAAGTCTCTGAGGGCACAGGAAGCCTGGTTCCCCCACTTTGTCCCCCAGAAGAGGCGGGGTGTCCAGTAATTCAGTAGTTGGTGTACCTCGTTTCTAGATAACTACAGGCTAGATACGGAGAACACTTTGATGACACTGAGAAGCAGGGGACCTGACTTCCGGCAGGCTGGGAGATGGCGCAGTGGTGAGAGCATATGCGAGGACCTGAGTTCGAATCTCCAGGAATCACAACTGGAGGGATTCCCACAACCTGTTTACAGGGTGGTAATGTCCCAGAAGAAGAGGTCAAGAGGGTTTCCCCAAAGACCTTATTCTCTCTGTCTCGTTAAACAGAGCAGCCCCCTTAGCCTGTCCTTTCTTCTCTCACTGCCTGTGAAGCTCTGGGACCAGCTGCAAGGGGTGAGACCTCAGGAGCAGCAAGGACAGAGGACACAGCACTGTGGTTTAACCCCGTGTGTGAGAGATGAGAGGCTCTATGTCCTTACCACAAATCATCCCCATCTTGCCTTCCCTGTGCTAGGCCTTACCACTAAAATTAACAAACTTAATCTCAGAGAACAAGTCATGGGGGACCTGTCACAGACCAGCCTGAGGAAGTGAGGCAGGAGGCAGTGTGGGGAGAGTTGTTCTGAGCTCTGCTGTGTGGAGGGTGGCGGACAGAGGAAGAACCCTTGCTTGGCAGAAAGAGGAAGCTGGGGCAGGTCTGGCTTCCCTTCCTTCCCACACAGCCGCCATCTCAAGGCAGTTGCACTCTTAGGTCAGCTGCTCCCCTCTCCTGTGCTGCTCCGCCCCAGGCAGAGGAGCAGGCCGCTTCCATCTATTCAAGCTTTAATCTTGACTCCTTGGTGGAAGGTAAAGGAAGACCCTCGGATAAGAAACTGAGGCAGCTTAGTCTTGTTTCCATAGTGCTGGTGAGGGCACAGGGCCTCGCACACGCGCACACACACACACACACACACGCTAATATACCACTGACCCACAGCCTCAGCCTTAGACAGCCAGCCCCCACCCCCCACCAGGGTGAGAGGCCAGGGTTAATTCCACAGACCCTCCTCAGGCGGGGTAAATTTCAGTTCTCTTATGGCATGGACAGGTGGCACTGGCCCCTGCGTCCCTAGAACTCAAGCTGCACAGCTGAAATTTCACCCTCAGAGTAAGAACCTGGAATGGGACATCTGAGGAAAGGCTGCCCCGCCCACTCTAACCCAGCCAGGCTGTGTACCAGCAGCGTCTGTTCAGGCTTGGGAGCAGGTGACTTGTACACAGGAGCGAGAGCTCCTGACTTGGGCCTCAGGGCTCACCTTCTCCCATCTGACCTGGGAGTTGTCTAGGGGAGTCGGCAGGAAAGGCCTAGTGGGTCAGGCATCAGCAAGAGCAGTGAGTTGGATTTTTTTTTTTTTTGATTGAGGTAAATAAAAAAAGCTCTATCCTGCAACATCTGGAGATATAGAGTCTGTGCCCCCCAAATTCCAGACCTGACCCCCCCTTCACATCAGGCTCTTCCGGTATTGACTGTGCTGGGAGGCCTGTCTGAGGTGGGAGTCGGGGGTCTGCAGGTCCATCTGTCTGTACAGGTCTCTCAGCTCCCTGACTTCCTGCAGCACCCTCTTTGCCTGGCTCCAGTTGGACGAAGCCTCTCCCAGCAGCCTCTCTGTCTCCAGCAGCAGCTGCTCTGACTCCGAATCGGGTGGAGACTGTGGGGGGTCCTTGGCCTTTCGCTTGCCGTCTCCCAGCCCCTGAACCTCTGCCAGCAGCTCCTGAGTCTTCTCCAGTTTCCTCGCTACCAGGTCCTGGATCCGGGACAGCTGCCCCGGCTGGGAGGGAACAGGGGCTGGGGTTTCCTCGGCTGGAAGGTGGAGGGGGCGGGCTGGGGCAGTGTCCCTCTGAGACAGGATCTCCTCCAGGGAGGCACAGCGGCCCTTCTCTGTAGAGGGCAACTTCTTCGGGGCTTGTGGGGTATAGGTGGCTCCCTTGTCTGGCTTCTCCCAAGGCCGAGAAAGGCTGCTGGCCCGGTGTGAAGAGGGCTGGATTCGGTCGGAGTCGGCTCTCCGTCGACTGCCGGCTAGCTGGGCCACAGACTTGTCCAGATCCACCCGAAAGTTCTCCGCACAAGAGGCTGGCTCCTCAGGGGAAGGGTCTTCTTCTTGGATCAGGTCTAAGGTCAGCATCCCGTCTGAGGTAGAGGTGGAAGCCTAGGAAGGCAGAGTGAAAGAAGGGGGACCCGTATCAGCCCCCGATGAGTGCCATCTGGGGCCCCTTCCCTACTCCCGGCTGAGCCCCTCGACTGTGCTATTTCGGAGTCCTTCGAGGACGATTTGAAGTTCTTTCTTTTGTTTTTCTGTTCCTTACCTTCTCCTGCATACTGTCTGGGCTCTCTGCTCTGCTACAAGCTTCCTGGGAAGCGTCTACTTCCATACTGGGGACTCTAAACATAACGCGGGGTGGCCCACGATCACAGTAAGGTGCACAGACAGAAGAGGAGAATGCTCTACCCACGTCCTCTTGGCCACACTCCTTAGCCTGCTCTGATATCTGAACTCCGAATCCTTGCCTGGTCACAGACCTTCTTATTTCTAAATGCTGCAATTTAGCAGCCGTAAAGGGAAGTCAGACATGTGGTCCTGACAGAGGCTTTACAGCTGGGCAGCTCTGGAGACCACGGGTCTGACAGTCCAAGGCCTGTGTTCTTCCTCCTGCAGGGACAGCCCCTCCCTAGGCTCTGAGCACAGCTGCCTGAGAGAACCCACTTCTTCATTCAGGAGAGGCTTTGCTGCGGGGACACAGCACTGGCGCTCACCACCAGGGTGGCCGGCCACCACACAGCGGCATGTAGCACGCCACACTCAGCTCTTCTGTTTGTCCCCTTCTGAGGGGCATTTCTCACTTCCTCAGATGTTACTGAGAACACAGATGCTGACTCAGGGTAGGTGCTGAGTGAGTCATTTTGATTTGGGAAATCAGGCAGGGCGGTAGGGTGGACATGTCCTGAGCCTTTGATCCTCAGATGAGAAGGACTCCCACAAATGTCCCTGCTTGTTCACAGCTGAGATGGACGGACACAGACCGGCCCTGGGTGGCAATGTTTACTTTCTTGCAGCTTTACATACCACAGCCATGAGGTGTCCCCGAGTTGGAGGGCGGCGGGAGTGTTGGATTTTCGCTCTGTCTCGAGTAGGGTGGGCAAGGTAGCTATCCTCTTCAACGGTGACCTGAGGAGACGCTCCATGAGTCACAGGCTCTCTTTAGGACTCTGTCCCACCTGGATGTCCCTAATGTGACCCGCCTGGGAAATATCCACCCCACCAACTATTTCTGAGCAGGGCCCCAGGCAGAAGGGTTTATGGGATGCAGCTGACCCAAGGCCGGCCGGCTCAAGCATCAGGAAGCTGGAGAGGGGGTGAGCAGAGAAGACTTCAGAGAGAACACGGGGGGGGGGCACAACAGGGCCTTTAAGGAAGCAGGGGGGGGGGGGCACAACAGGGCCTTTAAGGAAGCAGAGAAAGTAGAGTTGGGGTGAACTAAAGGGGCCCCGCAAATACCCCTCCTCTGAGAGTCACGGCCTGTGTTCTGCCACAGTGCCCCTAACAGCCCCTGACCTCATCCAAGATGCGGTTCTTGGCTCTGGTGATAGCGGAGCTCAGGGCGTTGATCCATGACTCCTTCTCCTCAGGACTCAGCGCCAGGAAGATCAGGTTGGGTGCCTGGAAGGGGACGTTCTTGCTGTAGCCAGTTACACACAAATTATAATCCCCCAAGGAAAAGATATTACAATCTCATTTCCGCACTCCCAACTCCTGGAAAGAGAGGTTCCGTGTCTGGAATCATGAATGATCGAAAGAAACCCAGAGTCTGTCCCTGCAGAATGGGCAGGCTGTTTTAGGAACGATGGAGGAAGAGCTAAGAGTGTCGCTGCATTTGACCACTGGGGAGGACAAAGCTGAGGTATTAAAGGTCTGTAGGTGTCAGACGACACAGAATGTGACAAACACGGATTCCCTGGCTTCCCTTGAACTTCAACCACCCATCAGGGCACAGGGGCCAATAAACAACTCTTCTTCCAAGAGAATACATTTGTATGTACAGTAGGCATGTGTGTGTGTGTGTGTGTGTGTGTGTGTGTGTGTGTGTGTGTGTGTATAAAGGGGAAGGAAAAGGGAGGGGGCAGAAAGAGAAACATCTTTACGGATGAACAAGTTCACAGAGCGGGCCTGCCTGGAAGGAAGGGAACGGACAGAATATTCTCCAGTTAAATAATAAAAGCCAACCTGGGAGGCAGAGGCAGGCGAATCTCTGTGAGTTTGAGGCCAGCCTGGTCTACAAGAGCTAGTTCCAGGACAGGCCCCAAAGCTACAGAGAAACCCTGTCTCGAAAAACCAAATAAATAAAATGCAAAACAAACAAACAAACAAATAAATAAATAAAAAAGCCAGAGGGAGAACAATTCTGGGGGCTGTTCTGGGCCTCACAGCCCTGCCCAGCCCGCCAGGCCGCAGACCCACCATGGTGCCTGGCTGCTTGCATCGGGCCAGGGTGAACTTGCTGTGGTTTTTCTTGCTTCTGCTCTTGGATTTCCGGAGTTCTTCGCACTTCTCATAGTCGGTCAGGTCAAACACCTCTTGGATATTTTTCTCATCCTTTACCTAGGGGAGGTTTGGGGAACGACAGGATAAAATTACTCTGCTTCTCCTGCTGAGGGAAGGGGAGGATGAGCGAGCTGGCCCACCCCAGCTGTAGAAGTGGGATAGGACTAAGCACCGAGTCCTTGTGTGGGCTCCTGTTTAACCCCTTGCCTTCCAAGCCACCACTCCAGGGTCTCCCTCTACCTATGACCGTCCCTCTGTTTCTGAAGGACACACACAGCCTTACAAGCCCTAAAGGGTCACGGTGAGCAGACTGACCCGATCGTCCTGAGTGGTCATTAACCGTCCAGGGGAAGGTGAAAAGGGCAGCCGGCATCTGCCTCTGGCCTCAGGGAATATTATGGTTCCCAAGAGCGTCCCTTCCCACCTGCTCTTTCTTCTAAAGTAGGACATTATAGGAGATTCTTCCTGGCCAGCGGGCCAGCCACCCTCTTCTGTTTAGCTGGGAATATGCCAGGAACGAGTCGGTCATGTTTCCCGGGAAAAAGTGGAAATTGAGCAAATGTGTCTAAGCGGCCCCAGGGTTCCCTTGGCACCCTCTACCAGCCTGTAGTTGATCGCCCATCATCTGTGCTGTGGGGCAGCAAAGGGCACATTCATCTGGCTCCATTGGTCTTGTCAAGGCTCGGCTCTCTAGGATTCTCTGTTTTAGGGTCCCCGGGATTTTGGCTGGGAAGTGACCAATAGGCCTTAAACATCATGGTGGGCATGGGACAAGGTGCCACAGGAATGTTCGAGAACAATTCACAGGAACCCACGCTGGGCTGTGGGACCTCCTCTCTGGCTCCTTCCCCAGAGAGACTATCAGTGGAGTCCAGAAAGCCTGGAGAGGAAAGAGCTGGGTGTGTGCGGCAAGGAAAAGGACTCACTTCTGTCTTCCTGAGGGAAGGGAGGGAGCGCTCCTGGCTTGGACGTGGCTGATAAGGCACTGTGGGAGCAGGCGGTGTTGACAGAGGTTAGGAGGGGTACAGGGAGGAGATGGGGTGAGGCAGTGCCCGGGAAAGATAGACCCCCTGGCAGGGTTCCTGTGAATTGTTCTGTGCCGTATTCAGTGTCTTCCTCACGGCAAACTCCTAACGTCTCGTTTACAACTACATTTTCCAAATGAACCCTTCCTTCTGGGGGGGGGGGCATATGGACTGAGTATTCTAAGTATCGCTTTCAACCTAACTTCCCCTACCATGAAGTCACCCCAAGGTGTGGCTGTGTTCCTACATCGGCGGTTGATCAGAAGACATCTCAGCTGCCTTAAGTGGTGCCCTTGGAGAGTAGGGAATGATCCACAACCCAAAGGCTTCTCTAGTGGAGGAAGTTGGGGAGACCTTGCTTTCCCAAGAAACACCAACAGAAACCATGGAATGGTTACGGGCGTTTTTCTTTTTTGCATCAGCATGTAAACTGCAAATATATTTTGCTTTGGGTTTTTACATTTCCAATCTATTGGTTTGTTTACAATCTACTGTTTTGTTTAGAGGCAGAATAAACGGTGTCTTCTGGCAGCTTCACCCTTAGCCCAGGCCCACTGGACCATGGACTCGGTTCTGAAGAAGGGTCAAGAGTAGGTGCAGTTCCCCCTCTTCTCCAATGCCCTCCCCAGCAGGGGCATCTGGCCCCAGGACTAGTCAGAAACTCCTGACTCAGAGGACAGCAGATACTCTGAGGTCACCCTATGGTCTCTCTGCCCCGAATCCCCCTTCAAACACACACAGGCTTATTAACCAACTAACCATGCACTTCTGTCCCCAGGTTCTGCCTTTTGGACAGACAGAAGCCAACAACAGAGGCCTTGTTTAGTTTCTTTAGCCTTTCACTGCCCTCTGGTTTCCCGACATGTAGGAAGCCTTTCCTGAATGCTAGCTGTGCTTCCTGGCATTGTGAAGGATTCAGATACACTGTGACACTTGCTGCAGCTTGTTTAAATAAATAAAACCACAGTGGAAAGCCAGACAATTGAGGTGAGAGCTTTCCTTAGGATTTGGGACTAGGTAGCAGCGACCCTTTAAAGCAAACTCTCCTCCAAGCCTTCCCGCAGCTGGCTCCTAAGACTCTCCAACCGCTCTGTTCAGGCCCCTTCAAGAGGGGCCTCGCGGGCTCAGTGCTCTTTGGTTCTCTCTCCTTGTCTCAGCAGACAGTTTTTGGATGAGTACTTCTTTTGGGCTGCAAGTGTGTCTGCTTCAACACCATAAAAGGATTTATTTACCCGAATAGAACAGCAGAATGCATGTCGAGCGCGGAAAGCAGAAGAGGTTAGAGGATTTGCCAGTCCGTTCTGGGTGAAGGAGCACAGTCAAGAGAGGAAGGGGGCGGTCTAAAGGGGACACAGTCTATAATGTAGGAAGTCAGGGGAAGCAAGTTCAGCTTCTCGGCACTCCTGGTACTGAGTCAAGAGTCAGGGCTTTACAAAAGGGAAGGGGGTCTGGATTCCACGCCCTGCCTTTAGAGTCTGACCCAGGGTGGGCTGTGGTTACATGCTCAACTACTGAATCAAAGCCGCGCGCGCACATACACACAGGCGCTCACAGTCCTAACTCCATCCCCCCACCCCACTCCACAGATAAAGGTGGGCAGGGTATGAGTTCCTTGTTTTGTTTTCTTTCTTTCTCTCTTTAAGTGGAGGGGAAGGTGAGGAAGAGGCCTGGTTCAGGACACTGACTCCTACACAAATCCGGCATTCACAGCTACTGGACGTCAGGTCCCAGAGACTGACTCCAGTTTGCGGTTTTCTATGATTGAGGGTGACTTGCCACTCAGGAGACCTACATATGCCCCCTGCTACAGACAGGAACGGAAAGGGTGGTGGGCTGGGTGGGAAAGGCAGGAAGGGGCGAGGGACAAGATGACCAGTGTGTTTCAACAGAAAATTAGAAAGAAAAAAAAAATCCCGCATTTCATGGGGGCCAGACTAGGGTAAGAGGCAGCGAACGTTCAGAACTTCTGGGAAAGGTGTCCGCAAAGGCACATTAAATAAGTAAAGTCCTAACTCCCACTCAGGTAAAGTCACTCGGGGCTGACTTTTCTCTGCAGATACAGGACTTTTGCGACCCCTGAACTTGCAGAGAGGGAGGCGGGGCAAGCCGAAGAACTAGCCGCCGCGGGGACCGGGTCGGGATGGGCAAGGGCGCCTACCTCCTTCTCGGAGACGTAGAGCTGGTCGCCTTTGAGCACCACATAGCGGTTTTTCCAAATCTCCCTGAAAATGCCTTTCCCGCAGAATTTCCGGACCCAGCCGACCTTCTCGGGCGCCGCGGAATGATGGTTTCCATCCGGAGGCCCCTGCCGGGGCGAGACGGGGGAGCGGAGGCTCAGCCGGGTCCCCGCGGCCTCCCCCCGCCCCCGCCCGGCCCCGGCCCCATTGTCCGCGCGCCGCGCACTCACCCGCTTGCCGGAGCCGCTCTTCTTCATGGCGGGATCGGGCGGCCGCGCCCGCTGCTCGCTCGCCGGCGGCTCGCGCTACCCGCAGGCCGGGCCCCCGCTGCCCCCGCCGCCCATGCCCGCCCCAGCCGCACGGGCCCCGGCCGCCGCCGCTGACGTCGCGGGCTCCGAATGAAGGGCGGACCGTGGCGCCGCCGCCGCCGCCGCCGTGCGCTCCCCGCCCCCCGCCTTTGTTTCCGACCCGGCACCCGGCGGAGGCGCGAGCGGATAACCGGGAGGCGCGGCGATGGGGGCGGGCCCGAGGCGTGGCGAGCCGGACGGAGCGGAGCAGAGCGGAGGCGCCGCGGGAGACCGGCCGCCTCGGACCCACCGGCTCGGGCTGGCGGGGCTCCGGGAGGCTCCAGGCTCGACCGACTCCCGGGCGGCTGTGGGCGCCCCGCGAGGCCTGCGGGAAACACGCGTGCAGCGGCGGGGAGGCCCGCGAGCTCTTCTTAGCCCCGAGTTTGTGGCGGGGCCGGGCGGGAGCCCAAGTTTGAGGACCGCTTTCCTCACCACTCCGCGGTCTCTGGAGGAGGGTGAGCTGAAAGCCCCGGGAGGACCAAGTGTTGTCTTCCAGGGCCAATTACTACCAGACAATACGCTAATAAACCTATTACCTGGTGTATGGTAACACAACCACCACGAAAAGCGTAAAGATCCCTGGCACAGAGCAGGGGAAATTATCCTTTTCCAGAAACGCTCAAGATGAAGTGTTGGAAGTTTGTGGTTGCAGGCGTGGAGGGTGTTTGGGCTTTTTTTTGGAATCAAAAAAGGACCCCAGACCCTCCCTCCTTCCCAATCCTGTAAGTCTCATTATCCACACCAATTGAATTCTCTTTCGGGTGGACACAAAACTTTGTCCTTTCAAAACAGTCTTATTTTGACACTTAAAAATGTTGAGTACCATTTTGTAAGGCATATAGAGTAAGAATATTATCCCTTGGAAAATGATCAGTCGGGCACGGCGGAACAAATGACATGCTCAAATTGACACGCTACTGTTACATGAGTTAGAATGTAGGTTTTCTGACCCCGCTCCACCTTTTAGGCTTAGTACACACAGCGCACGTCCCAAACTCCCCTTTCCCATCTCGCCATCTCAGCTTGGTACTGTTCTCTTTAAAAGGTGATGAAAAAAGTGAGAAAAAGCAGGCTATATGAGGAAGCAAAATGTACCAGTGTGCGGACACCGCCGTGGAAATTAGCCCACGGGAGCTTTGGGGAACTTGGCTGGGCACAGAAGAATGGTTTGGATTGAGGTTTTTAATTTTTTTTTTTCTTTGACAAGGTCTTACACAGCCTAGGCTGCTTCCAGACTTACTACAGAGCGGGAGGCTGGTCTTGATCTGCTAATCCTCACATCCCCACCTGATTTACATAGTTTTAAATAGGGGCTGGGGGTGTGGCTCAGTGGTAGAGCTGCTTGCCTGGCATTCAGGAGGGGCTCTGGCTCAATTGCCTGCCCTGTAAGGAGGAAATTGAACGATAGATCCTGGCTCACGAGGCAGAAGAAATCATCTCCCTACTCCCAGGAGCTTTCACCTGGTCCACAGATTCTGGAGCATCCCCGGTGTGCAAGATCCTGGGCTCTCTTCACGGCATCAGACAGGAGCCAGGGCTCAGTGAAACATCAGGCCGAGGGGCCCGTAAAAAATAACCAAAGCAATTTTCAGATTCTAGAGCAGATGCATGTGGGCTGCGGAGCCTTCGCTGCCTGTCTGTGTCTTGAGATGTTACATAAATCTCTGGCTGGTCCCCATCCCTCCCAGCTCCCTTCTCCCCAGTGACCTGAACTATTAGGAAGCCCTGTCCGGTCCTGGCCTTCTTCCCCACCTTTGCTTTCTTGGCACAGGACGTTCCCATATGCCAGCTTCTCTCCTGGATTGCTCTGAAGCGGGCTTCTCCCACCAGGTGAACCACATGGCACCTGAATTTGGATCTAAGTGAGACTGTTTCCAGAGAATAGTGCTTAAGTGAGAAATTAGAATAAGCACTTCTGGGTTCCTTTACACATTGTTATAGCTCTCAGTGACTTCACACACACACACACACCACACATTGTTATAGCTCTCAGTGACTTCACACACACACACACACAGCCCAAACACATACACACACCACACACACATTGTTATAGCACTCAGTGACTTCACACACACACACCACACACACCACACACACATACACACCACACACACACACACACCACACACAT